CCCCCCCCCCCCCCGGGAGTTAGTCACTCGTGCAACTATTGGCGAAAACTCTTTAGACCCTGTAGTGACGAAAAACATTGCCGTAGTTGACGGGATTCTAAGGGGGGAGTACAAGTATATCTGAGGTCACAATTTCGAGAATGTGTTGAATTATTGTAGCCTGTGTACGGCCGCCCCTTGCGGGGTAGACTGCGAGAAGTCTCTTGTTTTTCTTTGCAAAATTACTGCACGCGAAACCTAAGCACGCCAACGGCGAAGCCGGGAGCCGAGAGAAACGAGGGCGTAAGACCGAGAAGAAAAAAGATTTCTCTTTCTCGTCTCGTCTCTGTAATAATAACGTCGTGGTTTGGAATCGCGCTGGATGAGATAAGAACTAGACGGATTTTAAGAGAAAAGGCGGACTGCAAGCAGTCTACTTGCGGGGAGGGGGCGGCTATGCACAGCCTAAATAATTGTGATGATGAAATAAATGACATTTATTTATTAACACAGATTGTTCACTGCGAGAAAAACTTGTATACTTATTAAAAATTGAATAGGTCCCCGTTGTTTGTGTTCACAGGTGAAGATCTCCAGTTAAGCGAATCAGGAAGTGACAGCGATTGACAAGAGATCGTGGCCGGTATCTAACAAACGAATTTTTAGTCATTAATTTATAAGGTATTCAATTATAATTTATGCTAATATATGCATTGACCGCTTTGCATTTAAAAAGATATATTTGGTTGAAACGGTTATTTTTCATTTTCCACATTGTGTCTTTACTGAAAAATGCTTTCTGTTTCTTTACGACGATACTTTTTCATCCTTTATTCCCTTTAAGCCTTACGTCATCTTGTTGGCAAACTCTGTCTACCGAAATTTTTCTGCATTTTTTCTTAATTTTTAAAAATGGAACTGGAATTGAGAGTGTTTTGACGGTAAGATAGTCATCTGACAATAACTTTGAAACCACCTGCATCGATGAAATTTGGTGCAATCAGGAAACCTCGTTCCCAGGTTCCTGCCTTATAATACTGGTCCCTACGAAGCGAGAGGGGACCAGGGAGTAGTCATTACGTCTTTTTCTAATTGTCCTCAGCTTCACTTCACTGGAGATACTCGGTTTGTAACCAAAAAAAATAATACATACCCGTGATAAATAAAGGGGAAACTGAAAACTTTTAATCAAAAAGAAGTAAAATGTATGTAAAATTAAACTTGAGCTGATAGTAAAATTAACTTTATATTCAACCCTGATATAGTTTGGCGCCTGTATCCAAGGCGTCTCTCGAGCTGTACCATAAAACGAATTGTAGATAGTTCTTCTAAACTGAAGTTCAAACTGATTAACTGATGTTTAAATCTTAGTTGCCGTTTGCCAGTGTTTGCACGGCAGATGATCAAAGACATGACCGTACCTAGCATAACTTATGCTTAAATAGTACTGGTCTTTGAATTACTCATCAAACTGTGTTTTAAAGAATTTCTGGCGTCACTTGACGAAACGTCTGCTTGTAGTGTCCATTCCCTGGACCATTGTCAACGAAATCGGTTCTGTTTTGTCTAGCAAAACTAATGAACCGAGAAAAGACGGTTATGGAACTTAAACTTGAGCGAAAAGTTGTTTAGTATGTTTTATCTGTTAATATCTTGATCTTCATAATTCTTCAATTCTATGACTTGACGATGTTGTCCGATAGAACAACACAGAAATTGACNATACCCGTGATAAATAAAGGGGAAACTGAAAACTTTTAATCAAAAAGAAGTAAAATGTATGTAAAATTAAACTTGAGCTGATAGTAAAATTAACTTTATATTCAACCCTGATATAGTTTGGCGCCTGTATCCAAGGCGTCTCTCGAGCTGTACCATAAAACGAATTGTAGATAGTTCTTCTAAACTGAAGTTCAAACTGATTAACTGATGTTTAAATCTTAGTTGCCGTTTGCCAGTGTTTGCACGGCAGATGATCAAAGACATGACCGTACCTAGCATAACTTATGCTTAAATAGTACTGGTCTTTGAATTACTCATCAAACTGTGTTTTAAAGAATTTCTGGCGTCACTTGACGAAACGTCTGCTTGTAGTGTCCATTCCCTGGACCATTGTCAACGAAATCGGTTCTGTTTTGTCTAGCAAAACTAATGAACCGAGAAAAGACGGTTATGGAACTTAAACTTGAGCGAAAAGTTGTTTAGTATGTTTTATCTGTTAATATCTTGATCTTCATAATTCTTCAATTCTATGACTTGACGATGTTGTCCGATAGAACAACACAGAAATTGACCAAAATAAAGAAAGAAACAGCTAGACTGCTCTCACTCGCACAACTTTCCTGATTTCCCCACCTATTTCCAGGGGAAATGCTTATGAGAACTTAAAGTTGACTTTCAAAATTTGGACGAGTTTCTTCATTCATCTGAATTTAAATAAAGTAATTTCTTTTTTGTAAATAATCTAAAAAAAGAGAGAATTGAATATCTGCTAAATAAATATACGTTTTTAGGACTGCAAATATCATTTTTGCTTTTATACTCTTTTGGGTGGAGTGGGGGGCATCTTACTAAACGTTTCTCGGTAACTTTTGTGTCTTCGCTACTAAAGCCACTCCACAAATTTTTCAGGGACTTTTCCTCGGCCGTGGACTGATATCTATTTTGTGCCTCGCTTTAAAGTTTTAGCCTCGTTTACGCAAAAATCATTTGAATGATCTTGCAGTGAAATCATGTGCACTCCTCAAATCTGTAATTGCAAAGAGTTTAATAGCTTGTAGCTCAAGGCTTAACAAGGTGTTGGTATGGGATCTAGAGGAGCTATACATTACTGTTTGTCCAACCTGAAAAGTAAAAGGCAGTCTGTGACTGCTTATGGCCTTTGCTTTACTTTTGCAGAATATTGTAAAAATAAGCAATGTTGTCCTAGAAATACGATTCTCACAAAACCTTGCGTTACTCAGAGAATGAGCCAACAGTAAGAACAAAAGAGAAAAACAACACGTCCTAGCCGGAAATCGCACGCATTCCAGGTACACAAGTATATGATTACTCTCCCAGCAGTTGACGAAAGTATTCTGTTTTGGGGACCCTTTTCCTTCTTTAATGGGCTATTAGGAAAGTTGAACTTG